TTCATGTGATCTCTAGGTGCAAATATTATGTTAAAATCCACACAAAATATTGTTTAGTATTTTTTCCAAATTTTCCTACTTGAAAAGCTAAGTGCCAGCTTCCACCATGGTAGCATGCCTCTTCCCTGATAAGAAACAAAATCTCAATTGGAATAAAAACTCAGTGCTCAGGGATTATATTTAAAAACACAATCATTACTTTAGAGCAAAAAAAGGTTTTGGAACTGCATTCACAAATTTTATTATCAGATAGGAAAACAGATTAATGCAAGAGTCAAAGCTAGAATTATACATTTTAAAAGTAATGAACATATGAAATATTCCCTTTTGATGTGCATTTTAACTAAAATTTTAGATTGAGGGCATTTTTAATTTAATTTTATAACACATTGACATATATTTTATTAATTATAATTTAATGCCTTGTGTCAACTTACATGTTTAAAGTGTTTAATTTTTTAAAAAATTAAGTGGTTGAGTAAGCTTACTTTAATCTGATAAAATGTCAGTCCTGATATTCTCGAAATTTCTCTCTGATTGACAGTATCTCAGGAAAAGCATTGCTTTGGCTAGCAAATTAATCTATATGGAGCCACATTAGATCCTTTCTTAAAAATAAAATCAAGAAACTTGACCTGAGACCTTAGCAGACCTCAGATTTTCTTATTTATTGGCAAAAGTGGTTCTAGAGTTTCAGATAGTTTTTTATTGGAAGATAATGTGCTACTTAATATGAACTTACTATCTTTTAAGTACCTGAAATCTCCTGCAAAAGCAAATTCAAGGAAACAAAGAAAAAATTTACAATATAAAACATTCTTGAAATGTGAAATTGTATTTTGATGAGCAATTCACAAAGTTATAAAAATCAAGGAAACATTTCCCAAGTTAATGAGCCATTTATAATTTGGAAAAAGACATAAAGATCAGTTTCATATGATCAATAAGACTAATTTCAGCAAAACTCACTTATCTAACAATGTCAGCCATCTAAAACAAAAACAAAAAACGAAATGTAAGCAAAAACTTTTGCTAAGAGTCAAAAATTTTTTTACAAAATTGAAAGCACTTATTAAAATGCTATTTATAATAATGTATATATGTATACAAAAACCCTGAGGTCGCTTTACCCTTTCATTCAACACACTCTCCCATAATCTCTGATTTAACTGTCTTCCCAGCTATAGTATAAGCTGTATCATGGGTTTGGATCAAGTAGTATTATTCCTCTTTATGTCCTTTAACCTAGGGTATATAGTCGAGTATCAATAAACATTGATTAACTAAATGAATTTATTTAAAATAATCAATAAAAGAAGAACCAAAATTATTTTGTGCATGAAGTCTTTGAGAAGAAATCTAAGTGATAGCCTTTAGAAGCATGTGAAATCACTGTGGAGTTTTAAGAAGCAGACAGCTGTATAGTGAATCAGCTAAGAGAGACTAGCCAATCCTGTGAAATTCATTGTCAGGAATATTTTCATCAAGGTTACTGAGTAAACTAAAATTGGTCAGCTAAAAGATGATCAAGAGTTAGAGAAGATGAAGAAATAGTATGTTTTTTAAAAGACTGCAACTATAAACAATTATAGAAAAAACAACTGCAACTGCCCAACTTACAATTTTCAACTTATATTTGAAATCAGTTTATAGAGTAATGAAGAGTAATTGATACTCTTACAGAGGGTCTAGTGGCCACAGGAAATTTTCTTCCTGCTTCTATTTAATGACTCAGGATTGTTTTCTTCCACTTCTTAATTCCTCATTTCTACAGAAATGCTCTAGGACTTCCAGTCCCAAGTTCACCCTTGCTTGAGATAATTTCTTGTATGGTAGAATTTGTGAATTAAAAAAAATATCAACCCTCTAATTCATCCTCAGGGTGCCCTGATTACAAATGAAGTTGAGCACTTTCTCAACTGTTCATGAGCCCCTTTTATTTCCTCTTCTATAAAACCTTCAATTATTTATTTTGCCTATTTTCCTGTTTGCTTCTTTTTATTATTCTTCTTGATTCACACCATTTTTTAAATTTTCAGGATATTAAACCTTATTGAAATTGGATGCTGCAAATATCTTGTCCCAAATTTCAATTTGTGGCTTCCTCCCCTTTCCCCCTGCCCTCTTCCACCACACAGTTTCTGTGTGTTTCAATGAAGAGAAGTGGCTTTTTCCCCCCTCAGAGGTAGTTTCAGGGTTCAGGGGGGACATGTGCAGGTTTGTTACATGGGCAAATTGTGTAACTGATGTTTGGTGCACTGAGGTTTGGTGCACAAATGACCCCATCGCTCCAGTAGTGAGCAGTGTACCCAATAGGTAGTTTTTCAACTTTTACTCCCTTCCTCTCTTCCCATCTAGAATGCCCCAGTGTGCCGTGTCTATTGTTCCCATGTTTATGTCCATGCATACTCCATGTTTAGCTCCTACTTACAAGTGAGAACATGTGGTATTTGGTTTCCTTTCCCTGTGTTAATTTGCTTAGGATATTGGCCTCCAGCTGCATTCATGTTGCTGCAAAGGACATTATTTCATTCTTTTTTTATGGCCCCACAGTATTCCATGGTGTATATGTACCATTTTTTTTTTTATCCAGTCCATTGTTGATGGACATCGAGATTGATTCCATGTCTTTGCTATTGTGAATAATGCTTCAATGGATATATGAATATGAGTGCATGTGTCTTTTTGGTAGAACAATTTATTTTTCTTTGGGTATACACCCAGTAATAGGATTGCTAAGTCAAATGGTAGCTCTATTTTTAAGTTCTTTGAGATGTATCCAAACTGCTTTCCACAGTGGCTGAACTAATCTACACTTCCACCAATAGTATATAAGTATCTTGTTTTCTCCACAACCTTGACAGTATTGGTTATTTCTTGCCATTTTAATGATAGCCCTTCTGACTATTATGAAACTGTATCTCTTTGTAGTTTTGGTTTGCATTTGTCTAATGAGTAGTGATGTTGAACATTTTAAAAATATATTTGTTGGCTGCATATATACCTCCTTTGAGAAGTGTTTGTTCATGTCTTTTGCCCATTTTTAATGGGGTTATTTGTTTTTCTGTTAATTGTTTAAATTCCTTATAGATACTGAATACTAGACCTTGGTCAAATGCGTAGTTTCAAATATTTTCTCATTCTGTAGGTTGTATATTTACTCTATGGATAGTTTCTTTTGCTGTGCAGAAGCTCTTTAATTTAATTAGTTTCCAGCTGTCAATTTTCTTTTTTGTTGCAGTTGCTTTTGGGGACTTAACCAAAAATTCTTTGTCAAGGCCAATGTCGAGAAGGGTATTTTCTAGATTTTTTATTCTAGACTCTTTATAGTTTGAGATTTTATAGTTGTCTTTAATCCATCTTGAGTTAATTTTTGTATATGGTAAAATTTAAGGGTATAGTTTGAATGTTCTGCATATGAGTAGCCAGTTTTCTCACATCAAATACTGAATAGGGAGTCCTTTTCCCATTGATTGTTTTTGTCAGCCTTGTCAAAGATAAGATGGTTATAGTTGTGTGGCTTTATTTCTGGGTTTTCCATCCTGTTCAATTGTTTTATGTGTCTATTTTTGTACCAGTACCATGTTGTTTTGGTTACAATAATTGTAAGTTCTCCAAATGGATGGAACTAATAGAATATATGTATATGTCAAAGGGAGTTTATTAGAGCAAATTGGTTCACATGATTACTAGGTGAAGTTCCACAATAGGCTGCCTCAAGCTGGGGAAGAGAGAAGCCAGTAGTGGCTCAGTCCAAGCCTAAAGCCTCAAAACCAGGGAAGTCAACAGTGCAGTTTTCAGTCTCTGGTGGAAGGCCCAAACGCCCCGGGTAAGACAATGGCAAGTCCGAGTCCAAAGGCCAAAGAACCAGAAGTCTGATGTTCAAGGGCAGAAGGAGCCAAAGGAAGCATTCAGCACAGGAAAAAAGAAGGAAGCCAGAAACTCAGCAAGAAAAGTTATCCCACCTTCTCCACCTGCTTTGTTCTAGCCACACTGGCAGCCGAGGATGGTGCCCACACACATCGAGGGTGGGTCATCCCTTCCCAGTCCGCTGAACCAAATGTCAATCTCCTCTTCTTAGTGAGTCCTTACAGACACATTAAGAAACAATACTGTACCAAACATCTATGTATCCTTTAATCCAATCAAGCTGACATCTAATATTAACCATCACAGTAACTTTATAGTTCAGTTTGAAGTCAGTTAGTGTAATGCCCCCAGCTTTGTTCTTTTGACTTAGAATTTCTTTGGCTATTTGTTATCTTTCTTACTTCCATGTGAATTTTAGAATAGTTTTTCTTCTAATTCTGTGAAAAAGGACATTGGTGGTTTCATAGGAATAGTGTTGAATTGTAGATTGCTTTGGTCATTGCGGCCACTTTAATGATATTGATTCTTCTGAGATGTTTTTCTATTTGTATGTATGATCTATGACTTATTTCACGTGTTTTATAGTTCTTCATTTATAGAGACCTTTCACCTTCTTGGTTAGATATATTTCAAAATATTTTATGTCTATCATGGCTACTGAAAAGGGGATTCTGTTTTGATTTGGTTCTCTCAGCTTGAATGTTATTGGTGTATAGAAACACTACTAATTTTTGAACACTGATTTTGTATACTGAAACTTTATTGAAGTCACTTATCAGCTTTAGAAGCTTTTTTCATGGAGTCTTTAGGGTTTTCTAGGTACAGTGTCATTAGTGTAAAAAATAATTTGACTTCTTTTCCTATTTGAATGGCTTATATTTCTTTCTCTTGACTGGTTTCTTTGGATAGGACTTCTATTACTATGTTGAATAGGAGTGTTGAGAGTGGGCATTCTTATCTTATTCCAGTTCTTAAGAGTAATGCTTCCAGTTTTTGCCTGTTCTGTATAATGCTGGCTGCGGGTTTGTCCTAGATGGTTCATATTGTTTTGATTTATGCTTCTTTGATGCCTAGTTTGTTGAAGGTTTTTATTATGAAGGGATTTGGAATGTTATAAAAAGTTTTCTGCGAGCTCCCCGCCGCCTGAGTGCCTGTTTGCTGCCTCTTACTTCTCCATCTAGCCGCTGTGATAAGCGCCCGCCGAATTGCGGCTGCCGGTCTAGTGGGCGCCGCAGCCTCCCGGGGCCCCGTGGCCGCCGGCCACCAGGATAGCTGGAATGGCCTTAGTCATGAGGCATTTAGAATTGTTTCAAGGCGGGATTATGCATCAGAAGCAATCAAGGGAGCAGTTGCTGGTATTGATTTGGGTACTACCAACTCCTGTGTGGCAGTTATGGAAGGGAAACAAGCAAAGGTGCTGGAGAATGCTGCAGGTGCCAGAGCCACCCCTTCATCTGTGGCCTTTACATCAGATGGTGAGCGGTGTGTCAGCATGCCAGCCAAGCGACAGGCTGTCACGAACCCAAACAATACATTCTATGCTACCAAGCGTCTCATGGGCCGGCGATATGATGATCCTGAAGTACAGAAAGACGTTTAAAATGTTCCCTTTAAAATCGTCCGTGCCTCCAATGGTGATGCCTGGGTTGAGGCTCATGGGAAACTGTATTCTCCAAGTCAGATTGGAGCATTTGTGTTGATGAAGATAAAAGAGACTGCAGAAAATTACTTGGGGCACACAGCAAAAAATGCTGTGATCACAGTCCCAGCTTACTTCAATAACTCGCAGAGACAGGCCACTAAAGATGCTGGCCAGATAGCTGGACCGAATGTGCTTTGGGTGATTAATGAGCCCACAGCTGCTGCTCTTGCCTATGGTCTGGACAAATCAGAAGACAAAGTCATTGCTGTATATGATTTAGGAGGTAGAACTTTTGACATTTCTATCCTGAAAATTCAGAAAGGAGTATTCGAGGTGAAATCCACAAATGGGAACGCTTTCTTAGGTGGGGAAGACTTTGGCCAGGCCTTGCTACGGCACACTGTGAAGGAGTTCAAGAGAGAGACTAGGGTTGATTTGACCAAAGACAACATGGCACTTCAGAGGGTACAGGAAGCTGCTGAAAAGGCTAAGTGTGAACTCTTCTCATCTGTACAGACTGACATCAATTTGCCTTTTCTTACAATGGATTCCTCTGGACCCAAGCATTTGAATATGAAGCTGACCTGTGCTCAATTTGAAGAGATTGTCACTGATCTAATCAGAAGGACCATCACTCCATGCCAAAAAGCTATGCAAGATGCAGAAGTCAGCAAGAGTGACATAGCAGAAGCGATCCTTGTGGGTGGCATGACTAGGATGCCCAAGGTTCAGCAGACTGTGCAGGATCTTTTTGGCAGAGCACCAAGTAAAGCTGTCAATCCTGATGAGGTTGTGGCCATTGGAGCTGCCATTCAGGGAGGTGTGTTGGCTGGCCATGTCACAGATGTGCTGTTCCTAGATATCACTCCCCTGTCTCTGGGTATTGAAACTCTAGGATGTGTCTTTACCAAACTTATTAATAGGAACACCACTATTCCAACCAAGAAGAGCCAGGTATTCTCTACTGCCGCTGACGGTCAGACGCAAGTGGAAATTAAAGTTTGTCAGGGTGAGAGAGAGATAGCTGGAGACAACAAACTCCTTGGACAGTTTACTTTGATTGGAATTCGACCAGCCCCTTGTGGAGTTCCTCAGATTGAAGTTACATTTGACATTGATGCCAATGGGATCGTACATGTTTCTGCTAAAGATAAGGGCGCAGGACGTGAGCAGCAGATTGTAATCCAGTCTTCTGGTGGGTTAAGCAAAGATGATATTGAAAATATGGTTAAAAATGCAGAGAAATATGCTGAGGAAGACCAGCGAAAGAAGGAACGAGATAAAGCAATTAATATGGCTGAAGGAGTCATTCATGATACAGAAGCAAAGATGGATGAATTCAAGGACCAATTGCCTGCTGATGAGTACAACAAGCTAAAAGAAGAGATTTCCAAAATGAGGGAGCTCCTGGCTAGAAAAGACAGTGAAACAGGAGAAAACATTAGACAGGCAGCAACTCTCTTCAGCAGGCATCATTGAAGCTCTTCGAAATGGCATACAAAAAGATGGCATCTGAGCGAGAAGGCTCTGGAAGTTCTGGCACTGGGGAACAAAAGGAAAATCAAAAGAAGGAGAAACAGTAATAGCAGAAATTTTGAAGCCAAAAGGACAATAACGTGAAGCTTAGGAGTGAAGAGACTTCCTGAGCAGAAATGGGCAAACTTCAGTCTTTTTACTGTGTTTTTGCAGTATTCTATACAGAATTTCCTTAATTTGTAAATTTAGTGACCATTAGCTAGTGACCAATTTAACGGGCGGTGATTCTAACAGTATAAAGTTCACAATGTTCTATGTCCCTAGCCTGTCATTTTTCAGCTGCATGTAAAAGGGGGTAGGATGGATTAATTGATCATTATAAAGACTTAACTACTAAAAAAAAATTTTCTGCATCTACTGAAATGATAATATTGTTTCTGTTTCTAATTCTGTTTATTTGGTGAATCATGTTTATTGATTTGTGTATGTTGAACCAGGTTTGCATCCCAGGAGCTTAATTGATTATGGTGAATTAACTTTTTGATGTATTGTTGGATTCAGTTTGCCTGTATTTTGTTGAGGATTTTTGCATCTATGTTCAGCAGAGATATTGACTGGTAGTCCTCTTTTTGTTTGTTGAGTCTTTGCCAGATTTTGGTATCAGAGTGATGCTGGCTTCATAGAATGGGTTAAGGAGGAGTTCATTCTCTATTTTTAAAAATAGTTTCAGTAGGATTAACACAACCTCTTCTTTGGTGGAATTTGGCTGTGAATACAACTGATCCAGGATTCTTTTCAGTTGGCAGGTTTTTTTTTGTTTTTTTTTTTTTTTTTTTTTTTACTGATTCAATTTCAGATTCTGATATTGGTCTGTTCAGGGTTTTGATTTCTTCCTGCTTACTCTTGGGAAGTTGTGGGTTTCCAAGAATTTATCCATTTCCTACAGATATTCTAGTTTGTGTGCATAGACATGTTCACATAATGGGTTCTGAGGATCTTTATATTTCTGTGGAATCAGTTGTAATGTAAACTTTGTCCTTTCTGACTGCAGTTATTTTTATCTTTACTTTTATTTTGTTAATCTAGATGGTATTGTAAATCTATTGATTCTTTTAAATAACAAAATTTTGTTTTTGATGATCATTTTATGAATTAGGCGTTCTCAATTTCATTCAGTTCCACTCTAATTTTGGTTCTTTCTTTCTTTCTGCCTGCTTTAGGGTTAGTTTGTTCTTGTTTTTCTAGTTCCTCTCGATGTGGTTTTAGATTGTTAGTTTGAGATCTTGCTAAGTTTTTTCTGTTTTGTTTTGTTTTGCATTTCCTATAAGTTTCCCAATTTCTAACTTCTTGATGCATTGATGCAGGCCTTTAGTGCTATGAACTTTCCTCTTAACATTGCTTTAACTATATCCCAGAGATTTTGGTTTTCATTTATTTCAAAGAATTCTTTTAAATTTCGGACGTATTTTTGTCTCTCTAAAGTCATTCTCTAAAGTCATATTTTGTTTCTCTAAAGTCATTCAGAAATAAGTTAATTTTCGTGTATTTTGTGGTTTTGAGGAATTTTCGTGGTACTGAAAAATTACTTGATTTGTAATTTTATTTTACAGTGGTCTGAAAGTATGGTTGGTATGATTTTGATTATTTTGAATTAAGACTTGCTCTATGGATGAACATGTGATCAATCGTACAGTATATTCCATGTGCAGATGAGAAGAATGTATCTTCTGTGGTTGATGCATAGAGTATTCTGGAGGTATCTATTAGGTCCAATTGATCAACTGTCAAATTTAGGTCCAGGGCTTGTTAGTTTTCGGCCTTGATAATCTGTCTAAAACTGTCAGTGGGGTGTTGAAGTCCTCCACTGTTATTTTGTGGCTAAATCTTTTCATAGATCTACGAATATTTGTTTATGAATCTAGCTGCTCCACTGTAAGATGTATATATATTTAGTATAGTGAAATCATCTTGTTAGATTGAAGACTTTATCATTATTTAGTACTCTTTTTTGTCATTTTACTCTTATTGATTTCAAGTGTCCTTTATCTGATATAAGAAGAGCAACCTCTGCTCTTTTTTGTTTTCCATTTGAGTGACAGATTTTTCTCCAAAACTTTAGTTTGAGTCTATGGCTCTTGTTACATGTGAGATGGATCCCTTGAAGCCAATAGGGAGGTAGGTCATGGGGTGGGTGGGTGTGTGTGTGTGTGTGTGTGTGTGTGTGTGTGTGTGTATGTGTGTGTGTTTAAAATCCAACTTGCTACTCTATTCTTAAAAGTGAGTCATTAAGACCATTTACATTCAAGTTTAATATTGTTATGTGAGGCTTTGATTCTATCATACAATTGTTAGCTTGTTGTTTTGCACTACCTATTGGGTAGTTGCTTTAAATGATCTGTAGACTATGTACCTAGGTGTGGCTTTGTGGTAGCAGATACTGTTCTTCCACCACCATGTTTAGAACTCCCTTAAGGATCTCTTGTAAGGTTAGTTTAGTGGTAATAAATTCCCTTAGTGATTATTTGTCTAAAAAAGATTTTATTTCCCCTTCACTTATGAAGCTTAGTTTGGCAGGGTATGAAATTCTTTGTTGGAATTTCTTCTCTTTGCAAATGCTGAATATAGGCTACCAATGTCTTCTGACTTGTAGATTTCTGCTGATAAGCCCACCGTTAACCTGATGGGGTTCTCTTTGTATGTGACCTGACCTTTTTCTCTAGCTGACTTTAAGGTTTATTTTTTAGCATTGACCTTAGACAGTCTGGTGACTATATGCCTTGGTGATGTTCATTGTGTAAGTATCTGGCAGGTGTTCTCTGGATTACTTTTATCTGAATGTCTACCTCTCTAGCAATGTTAGAAATTTTCTGCAATTATTTACTCAAATGTACTTTCCAGATTGTTTATTTTCTTCTCCTTCTCTCTCAGGAATGCCAATAATTCATAGGTTTGGTCACTTTACATAATCCCATATTTCTCTGAGACTTTGTTCATTGTTTAAAAATTATGTTTTCTTTATTTTTGTCTGACTAGATTAGTTCAAAAGACAATCTTCAAATTCTGAAATTCTTTCTTCTGCTTGGTCTAGTCTATTAATAAAGCTTTCAATATTTTAAAATTCCTTAAGTGAGTTTTTCAGTTTCAGTAGCTCTGACTGATCTTTTAAAGCTGTTTACTTCTTTATTTCCTGGATTGCTTTACAGATTTCTTTGTGTTGATTTTCAATCTTACCTTGGATCTTGTTGAGTTTACCTGCAGTCCTGTTGAGCTTACCTGCAGTCCATACTTTGAATTCTCCATCTGTCATCTCTATGTCTCCATTTTGGCTATGGACCTTTGTTGGGAGCTAGAGTAAGTCTTTGGTGATGTTGCAACATTTATTTTTCATGATTTCAAAATTATTATCATACTCCTTCTCTTCTGGAGAAGGTTGTATGGGGCAGGGTCTTTTTGCTTTGTTTCTATAGTCCTATATATTTCTGTCAACAGGTTTTCTTTTGAGCTGTGTGGTTTGGTCTATGGAACAGAAGATGGTATTTACAGGTAAGAGTCAGCTGCTGCATAAGCAGGTGGATATGGACTTGATCTTTATTTACTATAAGTTGCTCTCTGTTATTTCAGATGAAGGGCTGGACAGTAGGGTGCCTGGTAGCCTGAGTTTCCTTTTCTGTGACAGTGAGAGGATGTAACTGGGTAGAGCTGGAACCCCTAGCTTAGCCACAAATATTCCAAAGGCAAGTCCACACACCAGCCCTAATGAGGGTGTCTGGGAGGAACTCCTATTGAAGTGTGTTGAGGTGTCTGTAGCAGGAGGGAGGTGAGGGGGCTGTACCAGCTCCCCAACATAGATAGATAGGCACATAACTTGTTTCCATATCACACCCTTGTTCCAGGGCTTGTTATTTCTAATTCAGATGCACATTGTAGTCTACAATGTAATTGAGAGCCACAGGGAAAGCTTTTTTTCTTATTTAGCATTATGGTAGATTATGCTAGGAGAATTTTCTATTGTTAAAAACCCTGAAGTAATTTCATCTTGATCATGATTTATTATTTTTATATGATGCTAGATTCAATTTGTTGATATTCTTTTAAATTTCTTTTTCTGTTTCCAAGTGAATGTAGTCTCTAATTTTCCTAGGCTGTACTATCCATATAAGTTTTGAGGACCAAAGTTAGACTATGTTCATAAAATGAGTTAAGCAGTGTTTCTAGTTTTTCTACAATCTAGAACATTTTGTATAAGATTTATTTGCTGATTGAATAATTGGCATATTTTATTAGTAGAAGTATTTTTTATTGGTGAAAGCATCTTTATGGAAAGTTTTTTGAGATGTTGATGCTTTTTAATTAACTATTATTTGATTATTTAACTGTTATTTGATGTACGTAATTGGTTTTCTATGTCTTTTGAAGTGTTTATGTGATATTTTTTCTAGGAATTTGCCCATTTTATTTAAGTTTTGAATTTTATTTGCACAAAGCTATTCAAAGTTTAATATTAAAGATGATACAATGCACATATAATTATATAAATAAAACAAAATATTTATATACCATTTACTATGTGCTATGCTGTTCTAACTGCTTGCCATATATTAACTTATTTAATACCAACACTATTTATTGATATAGATTCTGTTATTTTCCCTTTTTTATAGTTGGTAAAACTGAACCAGAGAAAGATCAACTAACTTGACTATGACAACACTGTTAATAAGTTGTGGAGTTTAGATATAAACACAGTCAATCTGGTCAGGGGATCTGAACTCATAACTGTATACACTACATGGCCTCTTGCAATTGTAGTTATGATCTCTTTCACTTTCCTAAAATCATTTATTAATTCCTCCATCCTTCATGTCTTAATAAATCTTGCCAGAGGTTTGTGTCAATTTTATTAGATTTTTTCAAGCATCTATATTTGGGTTTTTTTTTGTTTGTTTGTTTTCATCTTTTTCACATCGATGTTTGTCAGGGATATTGGCCTGAAATTTCTTTTTTTGTTGTGTCTCTTCTGGATTTTGTTATCAGGATGATGCTGGCCTCATAAAATGAGTTAGAGAGGAGTCCCTCTTTTTCTATTGTTTGGAATAGTTTCAGAAGGAATGTTACCAGCTCCTCTTTGTACCTCTGCTAGAATTCAGTGGTGAATCCATCTGGTCTTGGGCTTTTTTTTTTTTTTTGGTTGGTAGACTATTAATTACTGCCTCAATTTCAGAACTTGTTGTTGGTCTATTCAGGGATTTGACTTCTTGGTTTAGTCTTGGGAGGGTGTGTGTGTCCAGGAATTTATCTATTTCTTCTACATTTTGTAGTTTCTTTGTGTAGGTGTATATGGTATTCACTGGTGGTAGTTTGTATTTCTGTCAAATCAGTGGCA